GACAGGCAAGGACAGGCAAGGACAGGCAAGAGAAAGGGAGGCGGAGTAAGGCGAACTGGAGCGTTGGGAGGAGCGGATATGAAACACAGGACTTGCGGAGGGGCAACGCGCGCAACGGACACGAAATCGAAACGATGAACGCGGGGCGACAGGGCTGTTTCAGGACGGCAGCAAAGCTAGCAAAGCTGGACAGGGGCCAGCCGGCGGACCCTTGAGATGCGGTGTGCGTGGGTGTGCCATGTTGTTGTTGTGGTGGCCGCGCGCCTGACGTCCAAGGTTGGTCAAGCTTTCGGTCGGCGGAATTGAGAGGCTGTAGGGCGAATCTGTTCGGCCCGGATTGGGTGACTGATGGCATTCCTCAGCAGCTGCGCACAGTGCTGGCTGAGTGGCGCTACGATTCCAGGCGAATCCGAGCCGTCTGCATCCTTTCCCGCAGGCCCAGAGGCTCGGCTGGCGCGGCGCTGAGCCCGAGGCCCCAGCCGTGGGCAAAGCAATTCATTCACTGCAGCGAAGCGGCGCAAGGGTGCAGCAGCAGCAGCTCTAATTGACTTGCCCCAGCGTGCAGCGGGGCCTGCATCTGGATTTGCAGCGCGCGCGGCAGCAGGACACCCGCGATGAAAAATCGCAAGGAACCCAACCGCGGGACACGCGCATGCAGTTTCTCACACACTGCTCAGCCGCCGCCATTTTGCCCCTTTGCCCTAATCATAGCGCGCGCTGACACGTCGTTCCTCTGCCGACAGCCTGCACCCTGCAGACTTGGAGTTGTTTCCATCTCGCGTGCAGCTTTCCGAGTGCCATCCCGATCCACATCGCACACCTAAGCCTCCCGATCTCCTCTCTTTCCCGATAGCATTGCCGCTCGGCCTTCTCCGAGAGTTGCCTCGTGCTACTGCATCCTCGCCCTGTCAAAACTTTGTACGGCTGCCCATCACCATGCGATGCGCCAAAACTCCCATCGTGCAGTGAAATCGAGTGCAGAGAAAGCGGATGCTTGCATCTGACTCTTGAGCGAGTGTGTGTGAGGGGGAGCGAAAGCGTCAGTCCAGCTGGGCGCTTTTCGAGGCGCATCCCCCTTAGCCGAGGCCAGAGTGTGACCACAACCGCGGCGTGAAGCGAACCGAGTCAGTCCAGCTCGCCATGGCCTTCGGATCGGATCCAGCCGTGCCTGAGAGAGAGAGAGAGAGACCCGACCGCGTGCTCAGCTTGCTCAGCTTGCTCAACGCAAACATCTCTTCCCTGCCAAGACCGCGGCGGCAATCTTTGACGGCTCTTCTGTGCACGGCGATTGCGCCGCACCCACATCGACAGAATTCACAGTCCGCTCCCACAAATCTTCCTTCCTCCCCCATCTTCATCAATTCCTCCCTCGACCTCGCTCCTCACCACCACCATTTTTCTCCAACCTGGCAGCTTCCACCGACACCATGGCTTCGCAAGTTCAGACCGCATTGCCCGACTACGCGCACAGCACCAACACGCTCGAGACTGTGCCCTCGTACAACGCCGCCAACACCACCGCCGCCTTCCCCGCCACCAAATCGTGCACGCTCACCGTCAAGAACCTCGACCGCAAACGCGATCCCATCCTCTTTGTCGACGCCGCCGCCAACGACCGCGTCGTATTTGAATTTGTCCAGCTCGACTACGCCGACTCGGCCGCCGACGCCGAGCTGCGCCACAAGCTCGTCGAGGAGGCATCCGACATCTATGCGTCGCCCGTCAAGCTCGTCGTGGCGGCGGACAAGACGGTGCCGTACGCGGTGCGCAAACACGTCGCATCGTCCACCTACGAGATCATCCAGCTCGACTCGCACGGCGGCTTTGGCGCATGCACCAAGATCGCCACCAAGGGCATCTTTAAGAGCAAGTACCACCTCGAGAGCGCTCCTGCCGCAGAGTCGTCGCAGGCCGACGACGTCTACCTCAAGGGCTCGCTCAAGGCGCTCAACGTCTCGCTGCGTCGCAACGTGGATGGAAACAAGGCAACGCTCATCGAGCTCATCAAGGGCGTCCATGCGACCGTGGCGCACTTTGACTCGGGCGTCACGCAGCTCGGTGCGTCGCTCTCGGTGCCCTACCTTGTAGCGGCGCTGTTTGCAGCCATCGACACGCACCGCGAACACTACCTCACCTTCACCACGGATGAGAAGCTCGACGAGCTTCAGGCGAGGGTCAAGCCGTCCACGTGGGACTCGCTCTTCCTGCAGGCGGGGCAGACGAGCAAGAAGCAGGAAAAGTTTGCGCAGCAGCTCGAGTCGGAGCGCAAGCGCGACTACAACGAGGCCGTGCACAACAAGAGCGCCTACCCGAACGGCATCATTCCTGCCAACAGGTCCGGATCCCACTCGCGCTCGCGATCCAGGGCGGCTTCTAGGGACGCTTCGCGCACCGCTAGCCCCGCACCCGGCAACGCCGCGCTGCCACCCGTCGACGATGCCGAAAGCTCAGCAGACCAGCAACGTGGTCGTCGCTGATTGTTGATCCTCTTATACCTCGCACGCAATGGCAAGATCATACACACCAGCTGTCGTCCATGCATGCATGCATGCTGTCAGTGTGACAGGGGCTTTTTTGGTGGGGATAATGCAAAGCCCAGATGAGATGGAATGCATCCCCATCGCGCTTGAAGGAGGTCGAATGAAATGGTGGGGACGTCCTGATGGAAAGTGGGGTGGGGCCTGCAGCCGGTCTGCAAATGAGGCGCGGATGCGCACGAATCGTGATGCACATATAAGTGCGACCTCCCGGGCGGTGAAGCTTGGCTTCCATCCACCGACGCGATGCTGCGAGTTGTTGCTCTCCTTGCTGTGCTACTCGTCGCTGTGGCAGCACGACAGCTTCCCGACGTAGTCTGCTGTAAGTAGCCCAGCCTCGGTCTCCTCGATGGCACGATTCTGACAGTGTCGTTGGTCATAGCGCTACCGGCTTGTACGAGCTTGGACAGGCTGCGCGACGATGCCCGCGGGGTGAGCTTCCATCCATGTCCCGGCCAGGTCGTCGCACAAACCAGGTTGGCCGCCGTGGATATTGCGCCCGACTCGCCCATAGCCCAGCAGATCTGGGACACCGATCCCACCCCCGACGCATACTGGATCGCACAGGTAAGCCAGTCCCCGCGCGCCAAGCAAGATTCTAGGATTCGTACTGACATGGCCATGTGGCTAGTATCTCGACTCGTTGACATCGTGCAATCGTGAAGTTAGGGTCGAGTGCTGGCCAAAGCCTTTCAAGGGTTGCGCAAGGCCTGCAGGTCCACTGGGCCCAATGCCGCTCCCAGGCCCGCCGCAGCTTCCGATGCCTCCGCAACTTCCATCGCTCCCTGTCATGCCACCTCCGCGCATGATCAAATTCGCCAGATCCGTCGATCCCACCTTGGACGACGATCTCCTGCCCCTCCCTTAGCAGTGATGCACATTCGCACAGTCCGCATAGTGAATGCAAAGGTGTCAAGCGCTTCTCAGTGTTCCAAAAGGCGTCTTCTTGCCGATTCTCGGTGTTCCAAAGGGCGTATCCTTGCCGGTTTGAGTGGTGCATTTGTGGTGCGAGCACGCGTGTCGATGCGAGAAAGCACGCCCGTGAATGTGAACTTCCACCACGATCTCTTGGTTGCAACATCTCTCAATTGCACCACCTCTCCAAAGCGCGCTCACGAAGCAACGCACAACGGTTGGACGATGAAAGAATGACGATGAAATTCAAGAAAACGAAAGAAAACGAGCGAAGTGAGAACGAGCAAACACGCGAGACCCGTTGCAGGAGGAGGAGCGCAGAGTGGCGGCGACCGTGCGCGGTTACTCGTCCTTGTTCTTGGGGAAGCACTGGTCATCGACGTCCTCGATCTTGTAGCACTCGATGCGAGGGTCGCAGTTGGTCTCCTCGTTGATGCGGTCCTCAAGCAGCTGTGTGCCCACGCCACCTTGTCAGTCCCATTCCCCTTTACAACGGTCGGAGTGTTGCAAAGCATGCTTACCTGACGAACGTCCTTGGGCTTGACGTCGTGGAAGTTGGTGGAGAAGTCGCACGCCTTGCTGTCCTTGTTGTCCTTGCAGATCGACGGGACGGGGCACGAGACGTAGACCGTGTCGACAAACATGCCGCGGTGACCAAAGGGAGTCAGACGGTTGTACCAGTTCTTGATCGTGTGAGGCTCGTAGCACTGCGAGACCTGCATGTTGTGCTCGTACTCGAGGTCCGTGTAGTGCGATACACTCTTGCAGCTGCGAGACTCGATGCCTGATCAGCCACAAACAAGCCACAATGGTCAAGATCAGTACGGAACAATGGAAGATGGTGGGGAAGGTGGCGACTTACGGCAGGCAATCGAGGCGTTCTTGGGCTTCTCGCCCGTGGTGTTGTCGTGCGTGTCGACGGTGATCTCCACCTCGCCCGCACGGACAGCAGTCATGCTGACCGCAACGAGCGCAACAGCGAGAAGCGACTTGAACATCATCTTTGATACTGTGAGGAGGAGTGAGGTAAGAATCGGTACAGGAGAGGGTGATGGTGAGAGGTTACAGCGGGGATCAGCGAACGGGAGGGGAGACATTTTATACCCTTGCACTCGGCTTTGTGTGTGGAAACGGTGTCCGAGCTTTCCGCCCGGTGCGACATGCGAGCGTACCGCCCACCTCGCCCCACGCAGCATGACCCTGACGAGAGACGCGGCTTGCAGTATTCGCCCACTCACACGGGGGTACGACAATGCAAGCCGCACACTTCATCCCCTCCCCCCTGTACAATGTCATTGTGCAAGGCAATGGCCCTGCGCCGCCCTGCCCGCAGACAAGGAGGAAGCCGAGCGAAGCCCATGCACACTTGGGCCGTGGCGGATTCGAAGACAATCTGCTCCGCAGCGATGCAGTGGCGACTTTTGCGCGTTGCTGCACCGGTGAGACTCAAACTCCCGCCAACCGCGCACCTCATTCCGCCATGCTTTGCAAGCCACTGGGAGGAAACTTCATCTGCATTCGGTATGCGAAGCGCTCGCAGCCAACGTCTCGAATGTAGCCCGTTTCGCTCCTACTCTTGACTCAAATCGACCGGCTCTCTTAACGCTGAACCGAGTCGTTTGAACCGCAAGTTGCGAGCTGCGAAGATCATCCTCGTCTCTGCACTAGCTTCAACTTGGCCGGTCTGTCACTTTGTCATCGAGTTTGTCCGCTCTGCAGCTTCCCTTTACCAGCATCGCGTCGCCCATCGCACAACACGCCTGTGCCCAATCTGCTTCTGCGTGCTAGAGCGCATTGTGTTGATTTTCTTTGGCATTTGTAAGCGTTGTTTCGCTCGCCTAGGATAGCTTGCTTGATTTGGCATCTTTGTCGCGGAAGCACTGCCGTGGTTGCTCGACAGACAGCCTCATCGTAATCATTGTGCTGCATCGTGATCAAGACAACATTGTGCGTCAGGCAGGGAGACGATTGTACGCTGTGCCGAGGCGAGGGGTGTAGTGCATGCAGAGCCTTTCTGATGGGAGCGGCGCATGTGGTCTAGCGAAACGGCGCATACATGCTCAAGAAAGCGGGTAGCAGCGCGACGATAAGTTGGCTCTGCATGTATTCTTTGTCGCCAGTACTTACGGGCCACGCACTTTACCAGGCGCTCTCCGCTTCAACTCAAACCAGCACCCGATGACACGCCAGATTGATTCAAAGCATCCTCACCGCCATCAGCTCCGCATGGTCACAAGAGTACGGCCATCTTTGGCCGCGTTCAATGCGGCATTGATTTTGACGGCGGGTGGCGTCGCTTGCTTCGTCCGCAAATGAGTCCGCCCTTTCATCCCGCGCCCACACCCAAGCCCCCAATCCACGCACGCAACACCCGCCCGCTTCACCTTCCCCTCGCGGCAAACTCAAGCACATCCCGCTGATTCGGACCGTACACATTGGATTGCCTTATTAGACCACCGCTATCCGCGCTCAGGCAAGGTAGCCGTTGGCCTGCAGCCACTGCTTGACATCTTCAGCATCGCGCTCGACCCACCTGGCGCGTGCGCGCACGGCATCCAGACCCTGGCTGAGACCCATGGAGAACTTGGCCGTGTCCTTGTCCTTGAAGAACTGCTCCACATCCTGCGCGTCCTGCTCGGACGAGAAGGCGCTGAACGAGTACTCGATGATGCGCGAGAGCGAAAAGTTGCCCGCAAACCGCTTGGACAGCGCCTCCCAGCGGCCCTTGGTCGCATCCCAGATCAGACGTCGGCCAGCAGGGTTGCCCGACAGCGCCGCAAAGAAGAACATAAAGTCCTGCTCCTTGACCTCGTCGCCAAACAGGAAGTCCACGGTGCGCTCCAGCAGCTTGACCTCCTTGGACGCGCCCAGCGCCAGCATGGCTGCAATCTTGTGCGTCGGCGTCGACGGCTTGCGGTAGATGGCAAGCACAGCCTCGTACTCCTTCTCGCCACCGTGCTCGACGGCGCGCGCCATGGTGGTGCGCAGCAGATCCGGGTGGATCTGGCTGTCGTCGCCCGTGGTGGCAAGGTGGTCAAAGCGCTTCTTGATCTCGCCCAGCGTCCACGCATCCTCGCCCGCAGACGCGGCGGCAATGGCGACGGCACGCAGCTGCTTGAGATCGGGCGAGTCGTCGGCGCTAAACTCGAAGCCGAGCTTCTTGGCCGTGGGACCAAAGATGTCGGCGCGCAGCTTCTTGATCGCGCCCGTCACCTTCGCATCCTGCTCCCACCACGCGCTGGCGAGCGTGCCGAGGTTGAGCGACGACGCCGAGTTGACCAGGTAGGTGGGGTCGTTGCGCAGCGCCTTGGCGAGCGACAGACCGCCCGACGTCTTGCCGTAGCCGGCCGAGGCGAGCGTAAAGGCGTCCGAGACCAGACCCAGGCGGTCCTCGAGCGAGAAGGCCGAATTCTTCTTGGCAGCCTCCTCACCGAGCTTGGCGAGGCGCTCGGGCGAGTACGCGACGCGGTAGACGCCGATGGTCTCGGCGTTGAGCTTGTAGGTGGCGTCCTTGGCGTTGGCGAGCGGGATCTTGACCTCGCGCTCGCTGTTGAGGAAGGCGTCGCGGTCGACGGCGACCTTGCCGTCGGCGCCGACGGTCTTGAGCATGAGCGGCACGTACCACAGCGTCTTGTCCTCCTCGGCGGTGGGGTCGCCGGTGGAGAGGAAGCGGTTCTGCTTGATGGTGAGGCCATCGGCATCCTCGGTGACGGTGAGGACGGGGAAGCCCTGCTTGAGCACCCAGTTGGCCATGATGGAGGCAATGTCGCGGCCGGACGACTCGCTGATGCCGTTCCAGAGGTCCTTGGTGACGGCGTTGGAGTAGAGGTGCTTCTTGAGGTAGATCGAGACACCCTTCAGGAAGACATCCTCGCCAATCATGTTGGAGAGCATGCGGAGCACGCTGGCGCCCTTGGAGTAAGAGATGGCGTCAAAGACCTGGTTGATGGCGTCCTCAACGTTCTCGCCCTGGAGCGGCACCTCGATGGGGTGGCTGGAGCGCTTGCCGTCGAGGTCGAGTGCGCGGTCGAGGTGGACGTTGATGAACTCGGAGGCGGACTCCCACTCGGGGAAGCATCGGTCGAGGATGACGACCTCGCCCATGAGCGTGGCGAAGGCCTCGTTGAGCCAGAGGTTGTCCCACCAGTCGAGCGTGGCGATGTTGCCGAACCACTGGTGCGCGACCTCGTGCGACTGGACACCGGCGGTGCGCTTCTGCGACTGCAGGCCGGACTTCTCGGGGTCGTAGAGGTAAACCGAGGTGCGGCCGGTGATGAGGCCCCAGTTCTCCATGGCGCCTGCGTCAAAGTCGGAGGCGACGAGCGTGTCGAGCTTGGGGAGCGGGTAGGCGACGTCAAAGACACGCTCGTACTCGGGGAGCACCTTGACCTTGACGTCGAGCGCGTACTGGGCCTGGTGGATGTACTCTGGAGTGGTGTAGACCTTCATGGGGATGACCTTGCCGGTGAGCGGGCTGGTGTAGCTGCTCTCGATGCTGACAAAGGGACCGTTGGCCCAGGCGACGAGGTAGGTGGACACCTTGGGCGTGGTGGCGAACTCGGTGACGGTCCAGTCGTTGGAGGCGGTGGAGGCGAGCTCGGTCTTGCCCTCGGTCTTGCCCTCGGTCTTGCCGGTGGTAGCAAGGATGTCGTCAAGGCCGAGCTCGGCGGCGCGGAGCAGCTTGACCTGCTCGGACTGGGAGATGTCGTTGGAGCTGACGACGTTCATGTTGGCGAGGGCGGTGGTGTCCTTGCGGTGGATCATGCGGAAGGTGTAGGTGGCCTTGAGGTTGGGCTCGTCCCAGGTGGGGATGGCGCGGCGGGCGGCGGTGGGCTCGAACTGGGTGAGTGCGTAGTAGCCCTTCTTGCCCTCGTGCTCCCAGGTGCTGCGATAGTAACCCATCATGCTCTTGTCGATGTCGCTGGCAAAGGCGACGACGAGCTGCGCCTTGGAGCCCTTGGGGAGGGAGTTGGGGAGCTTTGCGGTTGCGCGCTCATGCTTTGCGTCGATGTCGAGGGTGACGAAGCTCTTGTTGTCGGTCTTGAGCGCCTGGCTGAGGACGAGGGACTTGGAGAGGGCGAGCTTCTCGGCGGCGTTGAAGACGATCGAATCAGTGTCCTCGAGCACGTCGAGGTCGATGGTGGCGGTTCCGGAGAACTGGAGCGCCTCGAGGTCGGACTTGAGCGTAATGTCGTAGTGGGTGGGGACGACGTTGCGGGGCAAGCGGAACCACTTGGAGGCGTCGGTGGCGTCGGTCATGGTGGAAGAGACGGGCGCGAAGGCTGGGTCTGCCAGGGCACAAGTAGCGTGGGTGCGAAGGAAAGTAGAGCCGATCGAGGAGCGGAGCGACTGCCAGATCGAACCGCCAAAAGAGGGAGCGAGGATGGCAGCCAGGGCAGCACAGACGGAGAGCGCAAGTACGATGTAAGCGTTTCTGGCTCGGCGCGAATCAGATGGCGACATGTAGCCGCTGCGTATGCAGAAGAGTAGAGGCTGCGAGAGCGGAACGAAGATGGTGGGTCACCGCTGGGGAAAAGAGGAAGAGAAAGCGTACCTTTGCAAGATGGTTTTGCAGAAGACGAGGGCGAATCGGCGTGTGGGCACCAGCGAGGCTTGCGACGGTGGGGGTGGCGCCGAGCGTGTGGGGACGAAGGAATGAACGTGGAGCTGATTGGGCTCGAATGCAGGAGGCAAGGAGCGAGTTCACTTTCATCTGCCCGCGGAGAGAAAGTGGATTGGTGGCGAGAGAGAGGGAGAAAGGGCAACGGAAAGGGCTCAGTTAGCCAAATGCACAGACTCTCGCACGCAGATCGCTGGCTGGCCCGAGCGAGCGAACGGCGACGGCGGCTGACGAAGGATGGCTGGCCGGTCGGTGCCAACGGAACGCGGAAGCCCAAAAAGCACTTACGCACGAGCGCGATTTCTCTTTTGCGAACCGACGCGAGATGGCCTCTGAAATGCGCGATGCGGGCCTTGCTGCGAGGTGTGGAGTAGGAAAGCGACGGCCGAAAAGAGAAAAAAAAAAAAAAAAA